GCCCCGTCACGCCCCCGCTCCCCCCCGCCCCCACATGCCCCCCGCTCCCCCCCCCGGGCTCCAGCACCCCTCCCCCCAGGACTGGACCGCATGAACAGCGCACTGTGCATGTTCTTCCGCCGTCTGCTTTTCCCACGCTCCACCTTAGCGAGATTCGGCCGTGTCGCGGCGCGTAACTTGAGCTCGTCCATTTGTGCCGCCGCGTGGGGTCCGTGGCGCGGGGCCACCTCTGCGGACGGACACCCAGGGGTCGGCAGGTTTCCGCCCGACAGGCGTGCGGCTCTCCTGGAGCGGCGCGTGTCTGGGGCTGGAACCTGCACTAGGCAAGGCCCAGCCGCCTCCCGGGGGCCCCGAGCCCTCCTGGGCCCGGGGCCAGCCCAGCGCCGGTGGCTTCTGCCGCCCCAGGACCTCGGGACGCTCGAGCTCCTTGGGAACTGAATTTACACACGAGGTGGGCGGCTTCCTGATGGGCACGCGCGGTCGTCACCCATCGCTGCCATGGGCTGTCCCGGCAACCGTTCCCGGGGAAACAGAAGCAATAGTGATGTGTGGCCTTTCCAAGTGTGTGGCTTAAATCGCCGGGCACGGCCCTCTGCCCTGTGGGCAGCTGGGGGTCCTAAGGGACGACGATCTGGCCTCCAGCACAGAACGTGGTCGCTGCTCTGGCCGGGGGCAGAGGAGGAGGTAGAAGAGCCGCAGGCCCTGGGGGACCACGTGGAGCAGGACCACCCACTGCTGCGGCCCGTTGCCAGGGAAACGCGCTTTGCCAGCGCCCCCTGGGCCTGCCGGGGTAGCTCAGTCTTCACCCCGATATGCTCCACCACCAGAACCCCCACCCCACCCGGACGCGGCTGTGGGAATTCTCGGGACACAAAGTCCCCCGTCACACGCTGTCCACGCTAAGTGCAGCCGAGGGGGAGAGGCCGCACCCACCTCCCCTGCACGTGGGCTCTTCTAGAACTTGCAGTTTTTCATTGTCCCCCTCTCCGAATATTCCCCAAATGGTTACGGAAGGAGGGGGGGGGGCTGCTTGTCTGCGGGTCTCCTGCTCCCCCGCCTCCTCGCTGCTCTTCAGTGAAGAAACAGGCGATATATTTTGTAAAACCTGGAGCTGCTGCACTAGATTTAGCTCACAAACGGTGAAGTCAGCACTGCGCCCTTTCTCCGATTTCGTTCTGGAAAGTTGGGCAACATTCTCCACACTGTCCTTTGTGACAAGAAAAACGCAGGCCGCGCTGACTGATGGTGGCAGGTCGGAGCCCAGGAGATAACGAGGTGAGACTCGGCGTTCGTTTCACCAGCTTTGAAAAATGGCAGAGAACCTCCCGGCCCCCGATGGCGACGGCGCGCCACAAATCACAGTTGGTTCAAATCGGTTTTATGCACTTGGGGTAAAAAATAGCCAAGTAAACATTTCCACGGGGGGTCGGAGAGACGGGGCCTGGGAAGGGCCGGAGCCGGGCACTGCTCCTGAGAATCTGCCCCGTTTCTCTGCAGGGACGGTGGCCCTGAGCGGCGCGAGGACCCGTCCTCCTCTCCCCTCCCCTGGGGGCCAGAGAGTTAGCTCGAGGTGGTGGGGACAAGACCCACGCATTCACCGGCACCAAACTCCGTGGGTGCAGCCGCCCAGGTGATGTGGGGGCCCAGGGGAGGGCCGCGTGCCCGGCCGGCCTGCTGAGCGCCGCCCTCCCCGCGCACAGGCGACCCCCCCACCCCCTCCGCCCTGCACCGGGTCCCTGGGCGCCATCCTGCACTTTGATCTCCGTGCCTTCAGCGTGTGCGCGTGAGGCTGGGGCCTCCCAGGTGCACATACCTGTCGGGATTTTTCTTTAATATTGTTTCTTTGTTCGCTTCGGGGGCTGTTCACACGGCAGGTCCTGTAATAGCGGCTCTTCCTTCTGGCCCGCGGTCTAGGCTGCGGCCCGCGCCCTGCTAATGCCATCTGTATGGGCCGCCCGCCCTCCAAAACCTAGGACCTCCCCAAGAACCCAATGTTTACTCAAACTCTTCATACAATAACTTACTCTTTTATTAAAAGTTTGTTTTTTGATTGTGAATACAGACTTGTTTTAGAAAATGGGGAAAATATAGGAGTGTATAAAGAAGAAAATTAGCATCATCCCTAAGTCCACAGCCAACCTGAACGTTCTCAAAGCTACAGCCAGAGGCGGGCTTCCTTCTGAGCATCCGCGGAATCTTTCCCACGGAACAGAAAACAAACGTGTACCATGTAAAAAACATACTCAAGCAGAATAAGGTTTCTTTACAAAGTCATTTCCTATAAAATCTCCATTTTGTCAAATCCTGAGGAGTCAGAGACTCGAACAGAGACTGGAACATTTATTAGAAGAGCGGCCGGGGCGAGGGGCTCATCTCCAGATGCCCCCCCGGCTCCTCGTGCTACTGGGGGCAGGGTGCCCCCCCTTCCTGCGCGCCGGAGGCCTGTCCGTCTTAGGGGCGGCAGCCAGGCGGCGCGGGAGAGCCTGGGAGGGGAGCTGCGAAAGGAGGGGGAGAGAAGGGGTGAGTCCCCAGAGAGGCACTGTGCGTGGAGAGGGCCACGGCCGGCCACAGGAGACCACGCCACAGAAGGCGGCCGGCAAACGGCGGGTGAGGTGGCAGAGAAGGGGCCGGCGGGGAGGAAGCAGTCAGGGGGAGCCCCTCCACGCCCCTCGCCCCGGCCCCACTCCCCCTCACCTCTTTCCGGGGGACCTCACCCAAGCGGGGGTCTGTGGTCCTTCTGGGGACGCTGTCCCCTCGGCCGTCTGTCCTGCCACACAAATGGAGGGTGAGGACGGGGCGGGGGGCTGCTCCCCGACACTGGGCGGGAAAGCTGCTCCCCAGTCTGTCTCTTGGGAAGAAGACCAAACAAGGCGGGAGCAGGAGACAGAGGGAGAGAGGGGGCGGCTGGGCCTCCGCTTCCCGCACTGCCCCCCCCAACCCCCCCCAGAAGAGAACAGACGCTTCTCGGGGAAGACACGCAGCCCTCCGCCCTGGCCAGGCTCCATCCGCCGTCCCCCCTCCCGCCCCCGGGCCGGTCCCTCCCCCCCCCGCCCCCATGGGCCAGTACCTGCCGTGTTCCTGCCTCTTCAGGTAGAGCAGCAGGTCCTCGGCGGGCAGAGCCCCCCAGCCCCGAGCCTGGTACAGTCGTAGCAGCTGCGACACGTCCATCAGCTGCCCCGCGGGTGCGAGCCCGTCCCCACCTGGGGCGCAGCGGTGACGCCCCCGTCACGCCGCGGCCCCTGCTCCGCCTCCCCAGGAGCCCGGGCTCTGTGGCCAGCACCCTCCTCACCTCCGCGGCCGCTCACCTCTCTCTGGGGAGCCGGCGTGGGGGCCGCTGCTCTGTGCGTGGCTAGGGGGCAGCTCGTGAGCCCGGAAGAGACTGGACGCCATGGCCAGGGGCACCTTCGTCTTGTGAACAGGGGGCGGGAGGTGTGGCACCTGCGGGGCCTCCTCCCAAGCGCCTGGCGGAAGGAAGGAGGTGCAGGACTGGGGGGGGGGGCAGCGCGAGGCCGAGGGAGCCCCACCAGCTGCCTGGGTCCCCTCCCCGCCCCCACCTTCCCCACTCACCTGCCTTCGGGGGCAGCAGATCAGCAGAAGAGGCCTCGTTCTGCGGTACGGCCTCCAGCAGCTGGGGGGACAAGCCAGCCCGGGACTGAGGGAGGCAGGGGCTGGGGAAGAAGGGGCTCGGATGGCCGCCTTCCGGAACTTGGGAGACGGGAAGCCGACAGACTGGGAGAGAAGCCATCGGGCCTGGACTCCGGAGGGGAAAGAAGATGAGGAGGGGGAGAAGGAAGTGGGGTAGGGCGGATGTGCCCTCGCTTACCTGCTGCAAGAAGTGCTTGAGGCCGTCCAGCTGGGAAGGGGGCTGCGGCCCCGGCTTTAGGAAGCCGTCCCCGTCGGACCCAGGGTCTTCCTCAGGGAACGGCCGCTCCGGCCGCTGATCGGGGTGAAAGGCCCCAGCTGCAGAGAAGGCCCCTGCCGGAGGGTGAAAGGGGGCCCGCTGTGTCCCAGGGGGAGGGGACGCCTCCACAAACCAACCCTCCAAATGCCCCAGGGAAAGAGGCCCATTAAATGTCAGAGGGCATCCCGGCAGGGGGTGGGCAAGCGAGAGAGGAGGTGGGGGGTGGCTGGCGGCTGGCACGGCAGAGGCCCACGCAGCGTGGACAGAGGCGGCGGCTGCGGTGCTCACACTACATAAGTTAACCCCACCAGCAGCTCCCTGGAGACTGATACTCAGGAGGGCTCATGATTGGCAGACGCCACCTCGTTTGTCATTACGGTTACGTAAGTTTTGAACTGAAAACCATGACGTAACTCAGCTCTCATTCTTCACTCAACCTGGGCGGTCCCATTTGCACCCTACAGCGTCCCGGTCCACCCGAGTCACAGCTCGCTGAGCCAGGGAGAGCCACATCCTAGGTCAGCCGGCCAAGAAGCAGACACCAACCCATCAGGTCGCCTCTCCTTGCACCCGACCCAAGAGTCAGAGGCGCCGGCATCTCTAGAAGGTTGCCCGGGACGCCTGGTCCCTCAGGCACCTATGCACCTGCTCTTGACACTTGCTCAGGCCACGACCTCAGTGAGCGGGTTCTAGCCCCACATCAGGACAGCGCAGAGCCTCCTGGAGATTCTCTCTCTCCCTCTCTCTCTGCCCCTCCCCTGCTCACTCGCACGTGCACACACACTCTCTCAAAGTAAACAAACATAGAAAACATTTCTTAAAACGGTGGTCTAGACTATCGGCTGGAGCGTCACAGCTGGTCAAACCCACACGCGAGCCGATGTTATGAGGGCAGGAACCTGGGAGCGAGCGCCTGTCTACCGGAGGCAGGAGGTGTGTGGGGAGACGCGGAGGCAAGAGCCCGACCCGCCCCAGATGGGTCTGGAGGGCGCCCCAGGCCCCGGCTCCAGCAGATCCCCGTGGGCTCCCACTCCCTCAATCTGAGCCGGCTTGAGTGCATTTCAGCTTCTTGCACCTTCCGGCCACGGAGATACCTGGGGGACCAAGCGCTCAAGCCCCGCCCGGACAGACAGACTGGAAGCTGGGCGAGAGGAGCCAGTCAGCCAGCGCCCGTACAGGGGGGACCCCAGTGACTGTCCCCCGTTACCAGAGGATGAAGCGAGGCCTGGCTTCGGCTCCAGGGGCTGGAAGGAATGCTGGCTCTGGAAGGCGGGGCCCAGCAGCAGGCTGAGGTCTGGGGAGGGGCTGCAGAGAACCCGCGGCGGCTCTTCCCGGCTCTGCTGCGACACGGGCTTCAGGGCCACGGCCACGGGAGGCAGGGTCCAGAGCCGCCTCTCCCCCTTCTCTGGCTCCTGAGGCCCAGGGCTGGCGGGGCTGGTGGTGGGAACCTGGGCACGAGAGAGACACGGAAGGATCAACGCCCTGTGCGTCTAAGGGACAAGATGTGGCACACTCTGGTCACTGACGGGAGGTTACAAATAAGCAGAAAGTCCTCAGAGGAGGTTCGGTAACATCTACCAAATTTCCATTAAAGTATGAAGCACTGATTTTTGACCTTGCACTTCCACTTCTACAGACTAGATAGAGACGCTTGCACAGTGGCATGGGGGAACAGGATTTCAGCACCACGTGTAGGGACAAAACATAGGAGACGACTTTGACATTCACGATGAACACTGGGTGGGATGAAAAGTCGCACAGCCATGTGGGGAAGGCCCCCGGGGTGGGGGGTGGGGGTGCACACGCGACACAAGCCGCGGTGGCTGCTTCGGGGAGAGCGGAGCTGCCCAGAGACCGCAGTGCAGGGCAGAATGGGATTACTTCTCACCGTGCACCTCTTTGAACTGTTTGGATTTCTTTTTTTACCACGTGCATATTAAGGTCTATTCCGAAAGATATTTTAGCTTAAAGAGAAAAATATCATTACGAAAAGGAAGTAGAAGATGCAAACACAAGAGGGAGTTGGGGGGGGCACCTGGGTGGCTCGGTCAGTTAAGCGTCTGACTTTGGCTCAGGTCACGATCTCACGGTTCGGGAGTCCGAGCCCCATGTCAGGCTCTGTGCTGACAGCCTGGAGCCTGGAGCCTGTTTCCGATTCTGTGTCTTCCTCTCTCTCTGCCCCTCCCCTGCTCATGCTCTATCTGTCTGTCTGAACACTAAACAGGGCGATGCGTACCGGGGGGTCAGGAGGCAGGGCAGGGGCGCCCAGCAGCTGGCTGGCCTCCTCCCAGTGGGCCTGCAGCATGGCCTGGAGCCGCTCCACCAGCTCGGCACGCTGCTCCTCCAGCTGCTGCCGGCCGCTCTGCAGCTCCCGCACCCGCGCCTGCTCGCGGGCCAGCCTGGAGAAGAGACGGGAGAGGGGGCTGCGGCCTCTGAAGAGGGGGGCGGCGGGGCTTCTAGAGAGGAGCTGGGGTGGCGTGGGCGCGGGCAGGCCTGCGCAGGGAGTGGCAGCTGGCCGTCCACGGCACCGGCTCCACGCTGGAAGGGACGCACGCGTGACAGGGATGCGGCAGCGACGGTACCTGAGCTCATAGTCCTGCGCCACCTGCTGCTGCCTCTCCTCGCGCTCCGCCATTTCCACCTTGAACTGAGCCAGCTGAGCTGACAGTTCCTGCTGGTGCTGTCCGCTCAGCTCCTGCAGCTGCTTCCTGGGGGGACGCGGGGGCGGGGGGGGAAACTGAGTCTGGAGCCGAACATCATAAAGGGAGAAGCTGGAATGTGAGCGTGTGACAGGCAGAGCACCAGCCGGCCCGGCCAAGGCACAGAGGGTTCGGGACAGCGGGAAGGACAGCGCCGGTGCGCAGGGACGGGCACCCCAGGAGCAGAGACGGCAGCGAGGATTTGTGGGACAGGGATTCACTCACGAGGCGTTTCCAGAAAAATCCAGGAGGGGAGAGGGGATGAGGGACAAGAGCTGGCATGGGGACGGGGCTGGAGGCCTCGGGGCAGCTCTGGAGACGACACAGGCCACAGCTGGGCACTGTCCCCTCCGAGGCCAGGAGGCTGATTGGCGACAGCCCTCAGTTACGGGCCCTGGCACTCTCCGCAAGCACCGACGGCAGCTCCGCCCCGGACACACGCGGGCGGCCCCGATGGGGGCCAGCAGGCTGGGAAGCGACAGAGGGACGGAGGGGACAGGGCGCCGTGCCGGGGGCCCCGGGGGGGGCGAGCACCTGTGGTGTTCCCGCAGCGAGGCCGCCTGCCGCACGCTGCTCTCCTGGGCCTGGGCCAGCCGCTCAGCCACCCGCTGCTCCAGCCGCACGGCCAGGTCCGACTCCAGCTGGACCCGCTGGCTCTCGTGCCGGGCCTGGCGGGAAGGGGGGGGGGCGGCGAGGCTGCAGTTCCCAGGACGGAGGGCGCCGGGCGACAGAAAACCCACGGAGCGGCACCCCCCTCATGTGCCTAGCGGCCTAAGGACAAGACTCCAGTCACGAGGGGCCACAGGGGAGCCCCTTCTTCACGGGACCACGAGGTCCTCCCTAGCCCTGCACCTAAGCGCACGGAAGTCAGGGGGGCCGTGGCCAGAAAAGTCTACAGTGATGAAAAGAAAGGTTAGGGAGGACGACGGACCTCGCGTGTGGCCGAGGTGGCGCAGGGCCTGACGCCCAGCGGGCGCCCAGCAGGAGGCACTGTCCCCTCCTCCTGAAGCACAATCAGGCTGTGGCCTGGTCTTTGGTTTGTCACCTCATAGGCCCCTCCCACTGTGGAAACCTAGTGTGCACTCACAGCCGGTGACGATGGAGAACCTCACTCTTAAGTCCCACGGGTTGCGTCTCAGCCCCCGTCCTCCGTGACGTCCCCAGAGCACCCCCATCTGCCCCCGTCCTCTGTGACATCCCCGGACCACCCCCATCTGCGTCAGCCTTTCCTGCTGGAGCCACACACCCCTCCACTCCCGACACCACAGCTCCGTGACCCCGTTCTGTCTGCTGCTTGGCCCGGCCGCCCGGGAGGGTCCTCGGTCTTTCTGACCACATAGCAGCTGACGCTCCGGGTCACAGGTGAGTAATAAACACGTGGCATCCAGGCCATATGTTTTGCTACCGTTCACACCCTAAGACACTTTCTAATCTCTCTTTAGCCAGGCCTTTCTTCCAGGCTTGAAGCCCCTTCACCCAGACGCCTACTGAATACATGTACTTGGATACAGCACAAATCAAACATTCAAAATGTAGCTCATTTGGTTTTTCACTCTCAGTCCTTTCCCTCTCAGGATGTACGTTGTGCCTTCATTCACGGCCCCGCTCTCCACTGAAACCACCAAGCCACGTGAGCCCCGCGTTGTCCTGGACCCTGGCTTCTTCCCGCCTCCCACCGGGTCGCTCCATTCTACTTCCTAAATGCCTGGCAAGTTTACTCCTCGCTCACTACTCCAGGGATTCAGTATTATTTCAGGTCTCACTGATCTCCTCACCTCTGTTCTACCCTCTGTCACATCAGCCCCAGCAGACCTCCTACTTTGTGCCTGAGTGATGTTCTAGAATACAGAGGTGCTCAGTGTATTGCCCTGTTTGAAACCGTCCAAATGCCCCCACTGCCTGAAGAATAAAGTCTGGGCTGCTTGAAACAGCTTCCGTGGCCCCTCATGTCTTCCTGCCACCCATCCACCTCCCCTCTCCCTTCCGATCATACATAAACCCTTCACAACTACACAAATTCTTTTTTTTTAATTTTTAAAAATTGTGATTAAAAAAGCCCCACATCATATAAAATTTACCTCAACCATTTATTTTTATTTGAGAGAGAGAGAGAGAGAGAGAGAGAGAGAGAGGGAATGAGAGAAGGAGAGAGGCCCAGAATCTTGAGCAGGCTTCGCGCCGAGCATGGAGCCCGACTCAGGGCTCAATCCCACGGCCCCGGGACCATGACCTGAGCCCAAATCAAGAGTTGGATGCTCAACCGACTAAGCCACGCAGGCACCCCACTTCTTAACCATTTCTAAGTGTACAGTTGAGTAAACTGCATTCACATTATTGTACAGATCTCTAGAACTTTTCATCTTATAAAAATAAAACTCTATCCCTGCTGAACAACCACTCCCCATTTCCTCCCACCCCGGCCCCATGCTAATTTGTTTCCTGATATTGACTACTCTAGGTAGCTCATTATCTAAATTCTTTTCTTTTAATTTTTTTAATGTTTATTTATTTTTGAGAGAAAGACAGAGTGTGAGCAGGGGAGGGGCAGAGAGAAAGGGAGACACAGAATCAGAAGCAGGCTCCAGGCTCTGAGCTGTCAGCACAGAGCTGATGTGGGGCTCAAACCCACCAACTCACGAGTCATGACCTGAGCCGAAGTCAGATGCTCAACCAACTGAGCCACCCAGGTGGCCCCCTAAATTCTTCTAATGGAAAATTTAATATATACTCCCCGTGAGCCAGGTACACACACACACATATATATATCTTCCTAAAAAGCACCAAAAACGTAACAGCGTGGGATTGCTAGGCCAAAGCAAAGGACAAATGGGAGCCTGGCTAGGTTAGCCACTGCTGCCCTGCAAGCATCTGCCTATCTGGTTTGGACTGTCTTTCAAGATCACATGAACAGAAATCAAAAGCCAAGGCCCGTATAAATTGGTAGGTCTAAGTGGAGACCCTCCCCACAATAAATTGAAACTCCAGGATGTTTCATCCTCAGGGTGAAAGTGAACAGAAGCGGAACAGCCTATATAAAATTAAAGCTTAAGTTTAATCCTAGGGCAATCCCAACTTTTAAAATGTGGTTTAAATCCTGCTTTTGTACTGTTTTTTAGGGAGAGGCAAATGCAAATCTTCACTGCAGGCCTCAACTTATCCCCACAAGTTTTCAAATACAAAGTCCAACACACGACCAGAAATAAAGAGGACCTGGGGAGCCTGGCTGGCTTAGTCAGTAGAGGGTCCAACTCTTGGTCTCAGGGTCATGAGTTCCAGCTCCACGTTGGGTGTGGAGCCCACTTAAACCAAAAACGGAAGGAAGGAAGGAAAGAAGGAAGAAAGGAAGGAAGGAAGAAGGAAGGGGAGAGAGAAAGAAAAAGGACCCAAGGAAACTCCATGGGAACTAGCAAGAACAAGAGACAACAGAAATTGGAATCCTCCAACATTTCAGATGCTGAAATTAGCATCTACAGATAATAAAACTGTTTAAAGTACAAAGACAAATGTGAATATATCAGAAAACAAGAAACTATGAAACTGTAAAATGTGAAGATAAAAAGAGTACTTTGTAAAATCAAAAAATATAATACATATAATTAAAAACTCAGTCAGTAAATTAGACAAAGTTGAACAGAGAATTAGTGAACTGGAAGATAGGAAATTATCCAGCGTGTGCATGAAAACACAAAAGATGGGAAATACAAAGCGAACGAGACATAGAAGAAGAGCTAAGGTATATTTAATCAGGTTCCAGAAAGAGAGGGCAGAGACAACGGAGCAAAGGCAACATACAAAGATAATGACTGAGAGTTTTCCAGAACTGATGAAAGATACCACACTGATTCAAGATGCTGAATGAATCCCAAAAAAGATTACTTAAAAAAAAAAAAACATATTAAGTGCATTCAGGTAAAACATAAAAACTACAAAGAGAAAATTTTAAAGTCAAGAGTGGTTGACTGGTAGCTGACTTCTCAACAGCAAAAACAAGGGAGAATGGAATTTTTTATATGTTGAAATAACTACCCACCTAGAGTTCAACATCCAGGAACTTCTTCAAAAATGAATATGAAATGAAGACAGTTTCAAACTAAAATAACTGATCGGAAACATACACATATACATACAGATGAGTCATTTCTTCCACCATGAAAAAGATCCTGATGGGAGGTCTGAGTTCAAAGAAAGTTAGAACAGCAAAGAAAACAGCACATAACGTGGACACCTCTAAAGGAATATTGACTTTAGAGAACAACATTAATAATGTTTTATGGTGGTTTTTTTTACTTAAAACAGAATTTAAAAACAGTGACATCCCAGAAAACAGCAGGGAAGGAAAATGCAGGGGTCAGTCCTTCCGCTGACACATCCAATAAGCTGAGAAAAAATGATCAAAATCCACCATTTGGGAATTCTGGAACCAGATCAGACACTTAAGCAACCAGGAGAGGGCCTGATGACGGCAGAGGCCGCTGGGCTTGGGTACAAGAGCTGGGTCCCTGCTACCACTTCCTAGCTCCCAGCCCCTCGGCAGCCATGGGAACCGTAGCCCGGGAAACGGGAGTCGCTGGCTGAAATGGGGAGTGGGGCGGGGCAGTAAAAACCCTGTCCTCCAAAATCGCAGGGAGGCGGTGTGTGTGTGTGTGTGTGTGTGTGTGTGTGTGTGTGTGTGTGTGTGTGTGTTGTGATCAGTTTGGCAGCTCCCTGAGGAACCAGAGCAAACAAATACCTTTCTTCTGAGCCCCTTGGCCTGCAGAGGCCTCCCTGGTGGCGTCAATTATAAGATTTAAAGAGGGGCGCCTGGGGGGCGCCTGGGGAGCGCCTGGGGGGCTCAGTGGATTGAGCGATTGAGCTTCGGACTTCAGCTCAGGTCACAATCTCACGGTTTGTGAGTTTGAGCCTCGAGTCAGGCTCTGTGCTGACAGCTGGAGCCTGTTTCGGATTCTGTGTCTCCCTCTCTCTCTGACCCTCCCCTGCTCATGCTGTCTCTCTCTCTCTCTCAAAAATAAATAAAACATTAGAAAAAAAATCTCCCCCCTCAAAAATAAATAAATGTTAAAAAAATTTCTTTTTAAAAATTTAAAGAGATATGTATACTTATTTGGAACAGGAATCCAGACATTTAAGAAAATCTCTGTCAAGTCACAGGCTAATCACATAGATAACAGAAATGCCAGTCACCACACACAAAAAGAAATACAGACTTTGCAAAAAATGGTTTGAAAAAGTCACTAAACAAATGGATGGCTGCAGACATCAAAAGAAATCCAAGGAGAGAGAGAATATGATTTCCATAATTACATTATAGTATCCAAAATGTCTAGTTCTCAACAACAAACTACAAAATGTAGAGAGAAACAGGAAAATATGACTCATTCAAAGGAAAAAAGAGTTAGAGGCACCTCGTTGGCTCAACTGGTAAAGCATACAACTTTTTTTAAGTTTATTTATTTTGAGAGAGAGAGAGCGCATGAGTGGGGTAAGGGGAGACAGAAAGGGGGACAGATTCTCAATCAGGCTCCATGCCGTCAGTGCAGAGCCTAACGCAGGGCTCAAACCCACGAACAAGGAGACTGTGACCTAGGCGAAGTCGGGCGCTTACCCAGACTGAGCCACCCACGGTGCCCCGAGAATGCGACTCTTGATCTCCGGATTGTGACTTTGAGCC